TCAACCCGACCCCCAGAGGCCAATGCCAACATAAAAAGAGAGCCTTAGAGAAACAATCCTGAACCAAAGGGGCCACAACAAACTGAGAAGAAAAATAAGAGTACTCTATCCAATGACCAGGACGGCTCAGGCAGTGCATGAGCAGGCCTGAGGAAAAACAAAGCCCAAGACAGCTTGTGAAACGGTGCAGAAGTAACATCAATACCGAAAGCAAGCTGAAGCGGCTCTGCCAGCACCGCACGATACGAAGCGACAGTGTTAGGCATAAGGTAACGGTCTTGGAACAACGAAGAGAGAAAGGACAACACCACCCTAACAGAAAGAGAAGCACAGCGACAAAGACGCAAAAAGAGACGAAAGGACCGCCAGGAGACTTCATACTGCCGCCGAGAAGAAACCCTCAGGTGGGACACTAACAAGGAAGCCACCTGATCACCACACAGATGATGATAAACTCGAGTAAAAAAGACCACACGCGAAGACTCGTGGAGAAGATCGAACCATCCACGTGACGCACCGGGCCGATCTGCTGGAAGAGGCGGAGCCGCGGGAAAACCTCCGGATTTGGACATTATGCAAGCAGCGCCTGAAACCACAGCTGGGCTGGCCTCCATGGGGCAAGAGGACTACTCTCCCCTGGTAGGTCTCCAAGCAAGTCAGGACCTGGAGCAACAGCGGAACCGGGGGAAAGAGGTAAAGGAACCCCCCACCTCGACCAGTCCTGCCGAAAGGCATCGACCCTGACGGCCTTGCAATCGGGGAAGAGCGCCACATCTGGGGAAAGCGCTGTGACCATGCCGACGCGAAGAGGTCCACCTCGGGGAGCCCGAATGTCTGGCAGAGTTAACGAAAGGAGTTGTCGTCGACCGTCCGTTCCGTGGAGATGGGAACGAAATGGGTCAGGCCGTCGGCCAAGACGTTGGATACTCTCCGCACATGAACTGCCAGGAGAGCCAAACCCCGAGTACTCAGCAGACGAGTCACCCGAAGTGACCAGCACCAAAAAGCCAAGAACCGCATCGAACCCCCCGGTTCAGGCAATGAACCACTGAACCACCATCGGGCAACTCAAACCCTCCGAAGCGCAAACCACACTGCCGCGAACTCCCGCACCGAGCTATGGGCTCGACAGAAGGACGGACCCCACCGCCCCTAGCAGTGTTTGGTGAGCACTAGTCACAAAACCCCAGCCGAGAGACGACGTGTAAGTGAACACATCGAGAGAGGACTTAGGCAGGCGGCAAGGCACTGAACCCCGAAAAACCCGAAGAGGAAGCCGGCGACGCAAGGCCCCCCCCCCCTGGGAACGAACCCAACGATCACGAGAGAAACGGAAAGGACGTCCCCAAAGGAACCAGAACGGCCAACGAAGCCAAACCCGACCCGGCAGGTAGGCCATCACCGCGAAGTTTAGGCTCCCGCACAAGCCCTTGAGCCCCCCAGAAACAGACGCAAGCGGGATCGCAACCGAAGGAGAGACTCCGGAGGAAGAGACATGGAAGCGGTCCGAGAGTCCCACACAAGACCCAGCCACGACCAAACCTGGGAGGGCACCAGATGGGACTTCCTACAGTTCACCAAGAACCCAAACCCGGCGAGCTGGGAAAGAAGCAAATCCCTGGCTAGCAGACAACTGGACCGGCTGGGAGCCCAAACCAGCCAGTCATCAAAGTAGGCCAACACCCGAACACCTAAAAGACGCACACAGGCTACGACGACCCGCGTAAGCGTGTAAACATGTGAGGTGCCAGATTCAACCCAAACGGGAGACAACGAAAGTGGTAACCCTGGCACCCTAGAACAAAATTGAGCCAGTCCCTGAACCCCGGATGAATCAGGACGTGCTAATAAGCATCCCGAAGGTCCAGGGACACCATCCAAGAAGCCGGCTCCAAAAGAAGCCGAACCTGTGACAGCGTAGTCATCCAAAAGGAGGGGGGGTAATGAACCCAAGGGTTCAGACGGGACAAGTCCAGAAAAGGAAAAAGAGGGTCTTACCCGGAAGGCGGCCGCCACTCGCTCCCCATCTTGAAGTCGAGACAACTGGCTGCAGCCTGTGACCCAGAGCGAGACACCCTACTAGAGCCAGGAATGTTGACCAGGTAACGGGTGACCAGAACTCTGTTTGATCTCCTAAATCTTCGTGCCCGAAGGTCTGCCTAAGACATGTTACCAATGATGGCAGCCAAAGCAGCAAATTTACGAACATCATGAAAATGAGGACAGACTACAAGCTAAATGGACAGAATAACCCTGTGGACGACCTGAGAAACCCGAGCCCTGGAACAGGGAATGAGAGAGACTGGGTCACCCCAAAGTGCATCCCTGGCAACAGAGGCCATGGTACGCAGGTAACGGTGAAGAGCTGCAACCAGACACAACACATGATGCACCCCCGCCCTGACCAACCAAGCATCAACGACACAAGGGCCGCTTTGGAACACCGCCAACTTGTTCTTCGAAAGAAAAAAAGGAGGCGACTGTAACCAAACAAACCAAACAAGAACCGAAAGAGCAGAAACCCGAGATGGGGGAGAGCATGAAGTTCCCTGACCCGACCCCCAGAGGCCACCTCAAACCTAGGGAGAGAGAGAAAAGAGAGCGCCCAGTCCAAGGACCAGGACAATTCAGGCAGCACATGAGTAGGATGGAGGTGAAACAAAGCACAAGAAAGCTTGCAGAATGGAGCAGAATTAGCATCCACCCCGAATGCAAGCTGAAGCGGCTCCACCAGCACCGCACAATACGAGGCGACAGTATTAAGGGCGACATTTGATACTGCTGAAACAGCATCAAATGACAGTCCTGAAAAAGCCTAGAGAGAAAAGACAAAACAACCCGATCCAAATTAGACAATCTATGAAGGGAGAGAAAATGGCAAAAAGAACGCCATGAAACTTCATACTGTCACCGAGATAAAGCTCGCAAGTGTGACACCATCAATGAAGCCTCCTGATCACCATACAATTAGTGATGCACCCATGTCAAAAAGACCAGAAGTGAAGAGCAGAGGATTAGATCGAACCAGCCACATACCGGACTGGCCTGATCTGCTGAAAGCAGCAGAGCTGCAGACAACACCTCAGGTTCGGACACAGAGCAAGCAGCGCCTGAAACCAAGGCTGGGCCGGCCACCAAGGGGCCAACAGGACTACTCTCCCCTGGTAAGTCTCCTACCGAGCCAGGACCCGAAGCAACAGTTGGACCTGGGGAAAAGACGTACAGGTAATCCTACCTTGACCAATCCTGCTGAAAAAGATGGCGACTTCGCCATCGAGATAGTGCGCCACATACACGGGAAGATGCTGGGACCATATCGACGCGAAGAGGCCCACATCCGGAAGTCCATATGTCCGGCAGAGCCAACTGAAGGAGTCGGCATCAACTGTCCATTCCGTGGACTGGGGAATGAACTGAGACAGGCCTTCCGCTAGGACACTGAACACTCCCCTGGACATGAACTGCACAGAGAGCCAAACCCCGAAAATCCAGCAGACGAGTCACTCAAAGTGACCAGCCCCAAAGAGCCAAGGACCGAAGAGAACCCCAGTGGTTCGTGCAATGAACCACCAGAGTACAGTCCGAATGGAGCCAGATTGTTGAACCCTGAGAGACCCAGACCCTCTGAAGCTGCACTGAATCAGAGGCCAGTTATACAACCCGTTCTCGCACTTACTTTAAGTCAATATTGACTTATTTAATAAGTGCATATGTGACACACTAATTTATTGTGAATATTTTAGTTTACCTTGAAAAGCTTCATAGAAAACACCGACCTTACCTAACCTTCTTAGTATGTTAAGATAAGCATCTTATTGCCTCGTAATTACAATTATTACTTAACCTATTATAGGTATAGGTTAAGTAATAATTGTAATTACAAAGCAATAAGATGCTTATCTTAACATACTAAGAAGGTTAGGTAAGGTCGGTGTTTTCTATGAAGCTTTTCAAGGTAAACTAAAATATTCACAATAAATTAGTATGTCACATATGCACTTATTAAATAAGCCAATATTGACTTAAAGAAAGTGCGAGAACGGGTCGCAACATAACTGCACTGAATCGGAGGCCAGTTATAACTGCACTGAATCAGAGGCCAGTTATAATTGCACTGAATCAGAGGCCAATTATAATTGCACTGAATCAGAGGCCAGTTATAACTGCACTGAATCAGAGGCCAGTTATAACTGCACTGAATCAGAGGCCAGTTATAACTGCACTGAATCAGGCCAGTTATAACTGCACTGAATCAGAGGCCAGTTATAACTGCACTGAATCAGAGGCCAGTTATAACTGCACTGAATCAGAGGCCAGTTATAACTGCACTGAATCAGAGGCCAGTTATAACTGCACTGAATCAGAGGCCATTTATAACTGCACTGAATCAGAGGCCATTTATAACTGCACTGAATCAGAGGCCAGTTATAACTGCACTGAATCAGAGGCCAGAGTTAACGACCTCCACAGTCAGACAACAGCCGAGAACTGAGCTAGGCGATGGCGGGGTGTGACATTTGCTTGTTTGCTTGTTTTAAAATTTTGGGAGTTCTGTTTTTCTGTTCAGTCTTCGGTAGCCATTATTTTTTTTTCTATGTGGGGGTTTGTTTTGTTATGCCTACCCTTCTGGGTGCTAAACCCCAGTTGATGGCAGACATGGAATGATTCCAAATACATGGGGTTTCCATAGGCCACTGCTCTTCGTATCTCTCTGAGGGGGGGTCAGGTTCTGATGCGTGGTCTCCGGTAGGTAAGAACTCCAATCGACTGATACCACGGTCTAATACATACATATCAGCCAGGTAAGCTCCTGGGAGCTGTAGGGGCTTCCCACAGAAAAGCCTAACGTGTATGAATACACTCTGGCTTCCTGTTCCCGACACAGTGAATTAATAAACATCCTAATATAATATAAACAATTCTAGAATGAAAACCTGATCTTTGCATAAGCTTTATTAACTACAGGAATATATTTTCCCATCACCATATTCTTCACTCACCTTATACATAGCATTTTGGATGTCCGAGGAAGTGGGATTATATCTGCGGTACATTGTCGGTGGAGGCTCACCACAATGAAACAGCTCTTCTCTTACATATTCAGCTATAGCCTCTTGCATCATCTTGACCGTTGACACACCTTGTCGGGTCAGTTCATACATCTTCTGTAACACTCTTGGATCCACAGGTTCTTTCGTCCGAAATTTTGTGCTCTATAAAAAATTAATATACCCGTTATTGACCAATATACTCTACATACAATTGTGGAGCAAAAGAATCCTATTCTGTAAATTCATGTAGCATGGCAAACTAAGTCAGGAGAGGAATGCCTTAGGAAAAAATATAGGCAACCACATTTCTGGATACTACTTATTTCGATATGACTATTATTCATTATGAGTGGTCCATATAAAAGGGGCTCACCGGCGTCCACTCATCAGAATACACCTCGTCCTCTCAGCAGTAACATATACAGTACTGTTGCCATCCCAGGAGACATTAGATGCGTACAACTTTTGTATAAAGTAATTTGCACCTCTCTTTTCCTTAACGTAAAAACTCGCCTGTATTTATATTTCTTTTCATAATATTGTGTTTTAGCCAAGTAGGTAAGGGGCTTTGTTTTGTATGTTATTAAAGTCATTTTTGTTATATTAAATGTTTTAAGTGTTTATTCTCTTTGTTTTATCCACAGCTCTCACAGTGTAGAGGAAACAAGCAGTCTTATTTACTTTATTTTACTTTTTTATTAATTAATGTGCGATTGGCAGCCAGAATAGCCACTGCTCTACATTTCAGATTATCGTCATACGTGATATATAATATTGTAGACATGTGTAAATTAAGTCTTTGAAAATGTAATACGAATTACGAAATGCGTTCAGGTGTCAGACAATTAAAAAATGAATTTCGGAGAATTGTTATTTTTATTACCACCGACAGAGAAGAAAAATATAAGAAATATTGAGAAGATTTGTGTTAGAATTATTAATCTTACCTTTTCGGTCATATTCAACAACATATGTTTACAAGAAAGACTGCTACCAAAATATACTAAAATAAATATAAAAATAAATATACACACACACACTGGGGCCTCGACGTGCGATGCTAATCCGTTCCCAGAGACGGATCGTAACTCGAAATATCGTAAGTCGAAGTGATTTTCCCCATAAGAAATAAAGGGATTTGAATTAATCCGTTCCCCACCCTCCAAAATATTAACAAATATATTTTATACTGAATACAATGTTTTTTTCTAACTATAATACAGTACCAAAGTTTCTCTTACCTTTATGGAGGGTGCTTGATGGCGTATGGAAGATGGTGATGAGGGGGGGGGAGGAGAGTTGTTACTGTTTGGAAGGGAAGTCCCCTTCCATTATCACATCAGGCAGTGATGTTTTCTCTGGGGTACTCTCTCTCCTACGTTTTGCCTGAATACCACTAGGACCTGGTTGTGGTTCAGTGCTTGTTTGTCTCACAACAAATTTGTCAAGAGACATTTGTTTTTCTCTTCGTTTTAACATTTGTCTGTAATGATGCATCACAGCGTCACTGAATAGGTTAAGGCAAGGATATAATCTCACCCAAATCAAGATTTGGGTGAGTCGTTTCAGCAAAGGTTTGCAATTCTTCCCATGCTGCACACATTTTCTTAATTGTTAAGGAAGAGACATTCTGTACTCTTGTTTCTGCTCTATGGTCATCCTTACATGGGTTTTCATATGTTGAGCCTTACCACTGACTTTCCTGGGCCTCATGGCATGATATATAATAACTACTTTAATGTTCAAAATGCAAAAAACCAGCGTTGAATGTAATGAAACGCTATTTTCTGGGTGAGCCCCAGAGGCTCCCTGGAGCTTATCGGGCTAATGTATGTTATATTAGACAGGGACATTAGCTAAGGAGTTCAGACCTACCAGGGACCAGAGCCAGAACCTGGCCCCTTCAGAGAGGTTTCAGGGAGCAATGGCCCTGGAAAACCCCTTTGTGGTTGGGGTTTTCCTTATCTGCCATCGACCGGGGTTAGGCACCCAGAAAGGTAGGCATAACAAAACAAACCCCACATGGTAAAAAACTAAAACAAAAACCAAACAGAGGGGTAGAAACTCCCTACAATCACAAGGAAACAAGCAAACATCACACTTTACTGCCGCGCCGATCGTCCGCACAGCCCTCCCCACCCCGAGAGGGGAAGGGGGGAGCCCCGGACCTACCGCGCCGGCTGCCAAGCTTCAGTTCGGAAGCTAAGCTTCAACCAACGCGAAAAAAACGCCGACCGGTGGGAGGGAGGGTTGCCAGGGAGCCTCTGGGGCTCACCCAGAAAATGGCGTTTCATTACATTCAACGTTGGTTTTCTGTGGGGAGCCCCTACGGCTCCCTGGAGCTTCATACCCAAAGAGAAGGAAAAGAAAGGGCTAACCCGGGAGGCGGCTGCCACAAACTGCAACGCAAAGCTGAGACAACAGGTCGCAAACTGCGACCCAAGGCAACAAGAACGCACAGGAGCAGACACGCATAAAGAATGGGTGGCCAAGAACCTGTGCGACCCTCATATCCCTGTGCCCGAAATGAGCCCTAGACGTCACCAACACAGCAGCAAAAGCTGCAAACGTCTGAACAGCATGGGCACAAAGACAGACCGCAGGCTGGAAGAATGAAAAATCTGTGGACGACCTGGGAGACCCGAGCCCTGAAAACAGAGAACGAGGGGAACCGGATCAACCACAGCGCATCCCAAGACACGGAACCCAGGCAACGGCAAAAAGCACAACCGGACAACACAGGATGCACCCCCGGCCAAACCAATCAAGCATCAATAACCCAAGAATCCCTCCGGAAACCAGCTGTCTCGACCGTTGCCAGGACGGAGAAACGCTGCACACGTACAAATCTATCACCAGTAGCAAAGAGCAGAAACCTGAACTGAAGGGGCTACCACAAACTGAGGAGAAGATAAGAAGGCACCCTGATCAAGGACCAGGACGGCTCAGGCGACGCACGAGCAGGCCAGAGGTGACGAGAAAGCGTACAAAACGTCATGCTGTCGACAAGACGAAGCTCGCAGGTGGGACACCGTCAACAAAGCCACCTGAACACCACAGAGATGGTGATACCCGCGTCAAAATACCAGACGTGAAAAGCCGAGGAGAAGGCTGAACCAGTCACGTACAGGATCGATTCGACCTGCTGAAAGAGGCGGAGCCGCGGGAAAACGCCCTGGGTTCAGACACCTATCAAGCAGCGCCTGAAAATAAGGCTGGGCCGGCCACCAAGGAACCATAAGGACTGCCCTCGTGGGAATGGGCTCCAACCGAGCCACAACCCAAAGCAACAGCTGGACCGGGAGAAGAGGAACAGGTACCCCCACCTCGACCAGTCTAGCCGAAAGGCATCGACCCCGATGGCCTCGCGATCGGGGAAGGGCGCCGCATAAACGGGAAGACGCCGCGATCACGCCGACGCGAAGAGGTCCACCTCGGGGCGCCCAAACGTCTGGCAAAGCCAACGGAAGGACTCGTCGTCGCCGCATCCTGCAAAATCGGCATGAACAGCTTCAACAAGGCAGCCGACGAACGCGCAGTCGAGGACAAGGTGCCGGACCCTGGGACGGACCCACGCATCCTCACATCCTCCAGGAGGGAAAAGAACCGCAAAGCCGAAGCCAAAAGGCCCCGGGCTCGCAAGTCCTCCGCAACGAGTGCCGCCGAAAGGATGGGAACCTGCACATGGAGCTGAATAACGCCCACATCGCGGGGAAGAGCAGGGGCAAACAAGCACTCATTCAGGTACTCAAGCTCACCCCCAGGAAAACCTGAAGCACCGTGGAAGCTTCCCGCCACTCCAGTGAGCGGGAACGACAGAAGGAATGCCAGGAATCCACAACAAACAAGGGGCAGTCTGCTAGCCAGGACGACTCCGGAACCTCGAAACGGAGCCAGAGAGGGAACGTAGTCCCAAACCTGAATTCGGACAGATCCATTTATGAGGCATAATCCGGGTCACGCAGGAGGTAAGCTGCAAAGGCCGCTTGCACCACACCAGGTTGGATGCGATAAGCCGAAAACCTCCGGAAGGACGGAACCGAACCCGGGGAGGGGCCGACACCAAATCCAACTTGTACGCAGAGGGTGGAAAAGAAAACCCCCACTCCTTGTAACAATATGCCCCGCTCAGAGGAAAGAAAAACCCAGGCGGGGTCCAGCGGGGCCCAAGGCCCGCCCCTCCCCAGCCTTGAGGTCCTACACCACAGGACCCGAGGCCGAGTCCTCTCCCCAAGCCCCGACCCCACAAGACAAGGACGGAGCAGCCGGAAAAGCTGGAGGAAGGGGGGCCCACTGGTCACACCCAGAAGCTTCAGCCGGGAGACAAGACTCGAATGCCTCTGCCGACCCCCCGGAAGGGGCACCCCCCGAAGCTGCCGGAGTCTCAAGATCAAGTAACCCCTGCTCCGACCCCGAAACCCTCAGACGCTTCGGGGCCGGAAGCAGGGGGGGTGGGACCAGAACGAACAGAAGGGGAAGGACGAGGAGGTGCGGACTGAACCAGGATCAAAGCGACGCCCACCCCCAAGTCCGGGTCTCAAAAAGCAAAGCGGGACAGCCCCGGGGCATCCGGGTGAGCAACCAACAGAGCGCGTTGCAACAGACGAAACCTAGACTGCAACGCACGCGCCGCTTGTACCCGAAGAGAATCATCAGAGGCTTGGGTAAATTGAGTCACAAGCAAGCAGCAACACTCACAGGACTCAGGGTCAAAAGTATCACCGACCCAACAGGCAGCGTGGCAGAGGCAAAAACAATGAGGGTCACCCTAAGACAAGGGGACTGAGCAACCCTCAAACTCGCACACAGCGAGTGGGGACTCCGGGGTCACATCCATCGGACCCACACACCCCCTAGGGGATTCCCAGGGTCCTGAGCGTTTACTTTAAGAGGACTCGTGCTCAGGTATCCCAGGCAGGGTGCTGCAAACCGGCGCCCAAAACTACCAAGCGAACTTCTATAGCTGAACCCCAGGGATGTGTACACTCACGGGGACCTAGCAGGGATGCCACCGAGGAGAACAGTGGAAGGGCAAAAACAAACTGAATAAAATGACAGAACCCTCACCAGGCAAAAACAAAAAGAAAAACAAAACCCGCGCAAGAGGACAGCGAACCCCAAGGAACAGAGCCGGCCGCAATGTCGGGAATACAAGCTGTGCA